TAATCACAAAATCACACAATAAATTATGCAAAATGGAGTGAATTTAAGGGAGTAGACAATTCAACAATAGTTGGAGACTTCAATACTTCACTTTAATAATGGGTAAACAGTTAGACAGAAATCTAATAGAGAATTAGCCGCCTTGAAATGCAATACAAAATTCGCAGTAAGTCACTGACTTAGGAACGTTTGAGTTGAGAGCTTTTACAGATACAAAAGGGCCTCAAGAGAGAATAAAATCTAAGTAAAAAAAAAGATAGAGAAAATCAACAAATCCAAAATGTTGGTTCCTGGGAAAAGCTAAAAAAACCTACACATCTATAAGAAAACCCAGAGGTAGGAGAGATCAAATTATGAAACTCAGGAATGAAAGAGAGGATACTAACAGATAAAAAGGGTTATAAGGAATGCTAATATCTGTTATGTGCAAGATAAATGGGTACATTTCAAAAGATAAAGCCTGTGAAACTGACTGGAGAAGAAATAAAAACCTGCAGAGACCGATAACAGGGAAGAAGGTTGAGGCAGAGTTGGCCACTGAGGTAGCATTTATTCATTACCCACTGCACCACACACTGGGCTGAAACCACAGGAAGGGGTCTAAAATCCCTCGCAAACCCTGAGCCGGGTGTGGAGTGCACACTTGTAACTCTGACACTCAGGAGGCTGAGGCAGGAGGATCGCTGCGAGTGTGAGGCCACCCTGGACTGCACAGTGAGACCCCGTCTCAAAAAGACGGCAACAACAACAACACGCGCCGTATGCAAAGCTCTGTGTGCTCTACCCATGAGTACATCATTCAGGGATTCCTTGCAGTTTATTAATAGTTTTGATAACTGTGGCAAGCATCTGAATTCCTATGCCCTGGATTAGAAACAGCATTTTTTTGTGTGGCTGCGGTAGTGCCATTTGTAAGCATTAGTGACATCCTCAGAAGGAAAGACATCTACCATATGTAACAAGAAAAAATAAAAATATCAGCAGTCAAAATTTGTCTGTCTCTATGTCTCCATGTCTGTCTGTGTGTCTCTCCTGTGGGACAAGATGTCTCTATGTAGTTGAGGCTGGTCTTGAACTCACTGTGTAGCCCAGCCTGGTCCTGAACTCACAGTGATCCTCCTGCCTCGGTCTCCTGAATGCTGAGGGCACAGGTGGGCACCACCACCCCTGTCTTTTTCTGTGACATCATTATAGGTCCACAGGCAGCAGCAAAAACCGTATCGAGAGTTCCCTGTGCTCTTCCGTTTCATTTGACCGGGAGATGACATAGAGGATTAATTACTTGCATACTGTTTTACACTGGCATGTTTTCCGGCTGTGACCCTGCGCAGCAACTGGACACAGAGTTTCAGTTCCTTACGAGTCACACAAAAAAGATATTCATAAGAAAACTGTTGAAATACTGCATATTAGATGTGTACAAATAAACCTAAATAGATTCTGAGAAAAATCTGTATGCTTCCATACAGTGATTAGCACTGTTGATTATGGTCATAAATCATGCAATGGAAGATCTGTGGTCTCTATTTAAGGAAGCAAAATATTGTAAGCAGGCCTATAGCGACTATAGCCAAAACTAGAAATACTATAACCTAAATGCCCATCAACAGCGAGTCAGTTAAATATATGATAGTACATTTATTCAGTGGCATTCTAAGGGCACATTAATAATGACAGTATTTAATTTTATCCTGATTTATATGAGAGTCAATAGCTATCTCCACACTGTCAGTTCCAGTGTTCACTCTTGGTCGTCTTACTTGGCCTCAGAGTAGCAAGTGAGACAGTTCCTCACTCATTGTCTTCAAACATATCCTCCTCTTTCTTTTCTGTGATGTGGTCTTCTCTGGGTGTTTACCCTGTTCTTCCCTGCCCATTGCTCCTCATGACTAACTCTTATGACTGCCCCTGGACTGGCGTTGGAGTCTAGTTTTTTGGCCTTATTTCTCGGTAGGTGTTTACATGGGATCTGGTCTCTTGGCTTTAACTGCCATCCGAATGCTGATGACTTGAGATTTGTATCCAGTGCTTCCGACTCCTACATAGAATTGCCAATTTGAAACTGGCTCTGGGATTCTTTTTTTTTTTTATTAAGGTGAAAAAGAAAGAAAAAACAGAAATAGGGTACAAGTTATACAGAATTTCAGAAAAAATAATAGGAAATCACTAGTTAATAGATTACATATTGTTATCTTAGAAATAGTTGTTCAAGTTACAAAATTAAAGCACATAAAGTGGACTGTCAAACAGTGAGACTGGAAACAGTTTTGCTCAATGATCCAACAAAACTCAGTAATATGGTTATCTATCTTATACACTTAAATATTTATGCGGTTATATTCTTTAGAGCACTTTCTTTTCCTCTCTTTTGTACAATGACAATTACACATTTTGGGTTTTATTACTCCCACAGTTCTTATTAGTTTTTTTTGAAGAGAGTAAAACCAAATGTGGCATAACAGAACAGAGTCAGTCAAATCAAAAGGATGAACATAATAGATAATGTAAAAACAAAACACTAGGTGATCAACAATGGTTACCATACTGTCCCTTGCTATCTTAAAAAGAATTGCCTATATCATCAGTTATAATAAAATTGAACAAAACAGTAAAGAATAAAACCAAAACATTGGAGACATTACAGGGCTTTAAAAGAAGATAATAGTCAACCAGAATGGGCGTCATAATGAATCTTATTGTCTTCACAGTTGTTTCCTATACTTTCGAACTTGGTACTATCAAGCAAAGCAGAATAAAGGAAAATCGGTCAAAGCAAGATGGTGAGGGCAATACAGGAAATCAAAGTGGGTTACTATAATGTATCCTGCTATTTTAAAATTTTTTTCCCTTAATTAAAAAGAAAAGAATTAAAAAGTAGATAATTAAAAAAAGGGAGACTGAGATAAAAGAGGGCATAACAACAAAACAGCGTAGGTCAAAGCATAACCATTTAAGCAAAATAGTGTTTCACCACAAGACATCCCGACATAAGAGTAGTTACCATAATGTCTCTTTCCTGAAATCTTTGAGTATAACTTCGTATACTGTAGCACCAAACATATCAAGACAATGTAAAACCATTCAAGAGAATAACAGTATTACAGGGTATTTAGAACCAACTATCAGAAAATGAACAATGGTTTCTGTATAATCTCCTTGTCTATAAAAGTTTTTGCTGATATTATCACATATAATAAAATCCAGTAAGATACAACCTGTTAAGACCGATAGAGACAGAAGAATAAAAGCTTGATGAGACTTCAAAGCAAGATAATACTAAATCAGCACTAGCTATTATGATGTCTTGTTTTCTTAGTAGACCATGCACACTTCAAATGTCTAAAACACTGTTCTGACCTGTTGCACGCTGAAACCTCTCTCCTCTCTTCCAACCATCCCTATATGAACTAGCTCTTGCCTATCTTTTTGGCACAGTTCAACTTTCCTCATTCTGTTCCAGTCTGTACTACTTTCCTTCTGGCTCTTAGACAAACCACGTTCATCCTTTGTTTGTTTGTTTTGGTATTTTATGGCTTTTTGGTCCTGGGGATTGAATTCATACCTCGCGCTTGGCGGGCAAGCGCTTGTGCCACTGAGCTTTAGCCCACCAAGTTCATCAAGACCAGGAACTTTGTATGTATTGATCCTCTCCCTGCTCACATGGGCGATCCTTTCTTGTTATTTAGATCTCAGATATCACCTCTCTGATCACCAAAGTTCCCTCTTCCAACAGGAGCTCTGTTCCTCCTGTTTTATTTTATTCTTTACCCATACTTTATTATCTGTCTCCTTCCTGGACTCATCTCTGTGACAGTAGAAGGCTATCTTAATTCCTAGAACTAGGATATCTTGGAAGAGTTCTTGGAACTTAACAAATGCTCAACTAATATGTATATGAAGTTTGTGGCTAGGACTATAGCAGCCACAACTCAGTGGTGGAGCATTTGCCAAGTATGCACGTGAAACTCTGCTTCAACCATGAGCACAGCAAAAAATAAAACAAAAATGATGCTAAATAACGTTTGGAAGGATGTATGCCAGGAAGTTTACCATTGTTATCCCTGAGTGGGAATAGTATACAATGTAAATTGCAAATTGATACTCACTTTCTACCAACATTTGGTTCTTTTAGTCTTATATTATTTGAAATAAAATATACCACTTTAACGACTAGAAAAATTAATAAATATATTCTAATTACAAATATGATTCATAAAGTTTGGATGCTTCAAACAATTGTGCCTTAGCTAGAAGCTAGAAGATGCATTCCTATGGAATACTTTCTTACTGATTTTAGGTAACATCTTACCATCTGTGTAAAGAATCTATGATTTTGAGGCTGGGGATTTAGCTCAGCAGCATAAGCACCTGCCTTGCAAGCAGGCCGTTGTGGGTTCGATCCCCAGTACCAATAAAAAGTTAAAAAAAAGACAAACCCAAAAAACAGTAAAAAAAAAAAAAGAATCTATGATTTTGCAAATGTAATAAAACATGAAACAAGAAATATTTCACCATTTTTTCAACTTTATTGTACTCTTTATGATAAATTATGGAAATTAATTCTTTCGAGGCAACAAGATAAGATTGTTGGTTTGATGAGCAAATGCTTTCTTTTATTTAAATTATATTTTAAATCTTAGCTATGTTTATCTTGGACCAGTTTATTTGTTCTTTTTATAGACATACCCCACCTTAAAATTATCCGTTGTTCCCAGGTCTGAATGTTAAGTCAACATATGTTTGAGAAGACCTTCAGCTTATCAAGTATTGCAAGTCTCTGATTGTTTTGGAACCTCTTCTGATAGTAGGGACTTAGTTCAAGGACAGTTAAACTACTTCTCTTTTTTTTTTTTTTCTAATTGGTTGAACAAATGATTAGTTGCCTTAGTTACTAAAGTTCAAGTTGCTGGATCAGGGCTCCACATATATAAAGAGTCTCACTGGAGTCTTTGCTCAAGTGCATCTTTCCCTGGCTCATCAGAACCTCTCCTCCTCTGCAGTTTTGCACAAGATCTGAAAGAAGATGACCATGCCTATATATGTGGTCTGGGGGATTGCGCTAGCAGTATGCTGCTGTTTATGGATCATTTTTGGAGTGAGAAGAAGGTAAGGAAAATTCTTTAAATTTTCTTTTAGCTCATTTATATGTGTCCTTTTAACTTCATTATTAAATAAAAAATTTGGTTTTCTATATTTATACTCCTCAATGACAAAAATTGTTATCTAGAAATTAAAAGTGCTACCATTTATTAAATCTAACAAAACAAATAAAGATAGTTTCCTTATTTGGTGCTGACATTACCAGTGGTAAATATTGATCCGTTTATTCCTGTCACTGGGAAAAATGGTTAGCACACAGTAGACATTCAATAAGTGCTTGGTGAATGCTTGGATGGACAGATGGATGAATTAAATAATAATTTTCTCCAATGTATCATGTTGCTGGGTTAATGAAACCTACTATTTAGTAAGATAGCATGGCCCCATGAACAAAAGAAGTATCTGTGAACTACAATTTTGAAGTTTTTAATCAGCATAGAACTTTAAAGCCTGGTATAAAAGAGCCACTGATATGTATTTTTTCATATGTATCATATGTTCATGTCTCACAGGAAAATAGGCGAGCCACCTTTGGAGAATGGGTTGATTCCATACTTGGGTTGTGCTCTGAAATTTGGGGCCAACCCTCTGGAGTTCCTCAGAGCAAACCAAAGGAAGCATGGTCATGTTTTTACCTGCAAATTAATGGGAAAATATGTCCACTTCATTACAAATTCCCTGTCATACCATAAAGTGTTGTGCCATGGTAAATATTTTGACTGGAAAAAATTTCACTACACAACTTCTGCGAAGGTAATTCCTTTTGCATTTATACAGAATTCTGTTGATTTCCTAGTTTTTAAAAAATGTAAGTGCATTTAGTAATTTTCAGATTCCTTTATTGTAGGACAGTTATTGAGTTACCCTGTTGTGGAGAGTCATAAAACATAGTAAGTCAAATTAGACAAGGCATTTTAGTAGTGTAAAAAAGTTCATCATAGTCATAGATTTGTCATTTGTTGACTAGTTAATGAGTGCAAAATAAAAAATAAACGCTCTACTGAGCCAGATGGAACTGTATCAAAAGGTCAGGTACAAACCCATCACATCAGCAATTGCTACACGGTGTGCAGAGGGCATGGGCTGGAAAATTTTAAATTCTAGTCATTTTTACCACTCTCAGGCCATTTTGTTAAGAAATCTGCTCTGATATAGAGAAACCAATTCTTACTAAGTTTCTTCAAAGAATTATTAGACATAGTCTTTGCCACCAAATGGCTTAAAGTCTGGTTCAACTGCATCTCTAAAGAATATACGACACAACTAATGATTAAAATTTTTACTGATTAGTACCAAATGAGTGTGCAAATAAGTACAAGGAGCATAAGAAACAAGTGACTGGGATGGTGCGAGGGTGTGGCACAGAAGGGTGAGGGTTTGATCCGGCTGTAAGGAGGCGCTCACGCGGGCATGTCTTTGCGCAGCGGTGCGGTCCGCAGAGGCCTGACCTGCTCCCCTCCCTTCTCCGCTCTCTCCCGCTTCTCCCTGGGTTTTGCACGCTGCTAGGCATTCGGGCACCGGAGCATTGACCCCAGCGACGGAAACACCACCGAGAACATCCAGAGCACTTTCTCCAAGACGCTGCAGGGCGACGCGCTGGCCGCCCTCACCCAGGCCATGATGGAGAACCTGCAGGTCACCCTGCGGCCGCAGGGCGCGGGCCCGCTGACCGCAGCCTGGGTGACCGAGGGCATGTACGCCTTCTGCTACCGCGTCATGTTCGAAGCCGGCTACCTCACTCTTTTCGGCAGAGACCTGGCCAGGCAGGACGTCCAGAGGGGCCTCATCCGGAGCAGCCTGGACCACTTCAAGGAGTTCGACAGGGTCTTCCCGGCGCTGGTGGCCGGGCTGCCCATCCGCGCCTTCAAGACGGCGCACCGGGCACGGGAGAAGCTGGCCGAGGGCCTGGGCCACGAGCGGCTGCGGGCGCGGGCGCGCGTGTCCGAGCTGATCAGCCTGCGCATGCACCTCAATGACACGCTGTCCACCTTCGACGACGCCGAGAAGGCCAGGACGCACCTCGCCCTGCTCTGGGCCTCGCAGGCCAACACCATCCCTGCCACGTTCTGGAGCTTGTTCCAGATGATCAGGTGCGCGCGGGCGGTCGGGGTGCCTTTCTCCGGGTGGGGAGCACAGTTGGGGGCAGAGCTGCAGGGAGAGGCTGCTGGGTCTCCGTGCCATGGATGGGAACCAAACACGAGTGCCCGGTCTTTGGAAAACAAAGCAGCCCTGCACAGAGAGGCAGGCCCAGGTAGAGGCTGTTCCAGGAGCCGCGGAGGGTGGACAGGGCAGCGCAGGCCAGCTGGCCACGAGGCCTTGCTCTCAACCCACACAGTTCCTCACAAACCCAATTTAAGTCCATAAACAGTCATGAAAATCTTCTCGAGTGGCCACTGACTTAAAGTCAGTGCAGCGACCATGCCTAGTTCATGTGCATTCATGGTTTGTCTTTTCCCTCAATTCTAGTCAACATCGATTTAATGTCATAGTGTACACGTGGCGTATTTTATGGCAGCCACACAAATACTTTCCAAACATTTCTGGGACTCAATTTGCTGGACCTATGTAATATGGATTCTGACTGTGGCCCCGAAGCTTCCACCAGCTTCCATGCCCTGAAAGAAGTAGCTTTTATTTCACAATTCAAAAGTATAAATGAAAATCAAAGTATGACTCAAAGTAGGAATTTTAAGACTAAATTTATATGTCTACTTGGATACTCTGTAATTATTTTCGTAGATATGGTTTGCTTTCTAATTTTGTTACTCATTTGACTAATGCTTATTTAGAGTTTTTGATTAATAGGTGTATGACCAAAGTTTTAGTTAGCAAAGGCCTTTAAGACAATTCTTGCCAAAACTGAGGAGAAAACACAATTCCAAATAGAGACCAAGGGGTGAGAGTCCCCCTCTCTCAACCTCCCTGCTTGCTTTGACCACAGTGTTAAAGGAAGAGAAAACGCCTCTTGGTTTGCAGGCCTCTCAGTACGGAAAGAGTATTTGGTTTGAATCTTTCCTTCCTCTTCACTTTCTCCAGGAGCCCTGAAGCAATGGAAGCAGCGTCTGAAGAAGTGCAGAAAGCCCTGGAGAAGGCAGGTCAACAGCTCAGCTTCGAAGGCAAACCCGTGCATCTCAGTCAGATGCAGCTGAATGACTTGCCGGTTCTAGGTGGGCTGCCCGTCCGCATCTCACTGCCATGTCCTGTTAGCAGCCCCTCTACAGTAGGAGCTTACTGATTTCAAGGAATTACGCTAAGTATTTCGTGTGGTTTGGCGCCTGCCATCCTCACAGAGGTCCTGTGACCGAGGATCACTACTATCTCTGTGTACCATGCAGGGAAACAGGTACCCCGAGGTTAGGCTGCCTGGAGGGACAGGGAACCCGTGGCAGGGTCAGTGTGGGACTCTTGGTTCTCTGCTGGCAGCCACCGCACTGGGCGCCATCTCCCTTACCACTGATTGCCAATTAGTGAAAAGCAGCACAGAGTTTACGGTCATGCCGTAGAGTTGGCTGCATAGGTTGGGTGGTGGGATTGAAGATTGTCTGATTTTTCTGCTTTTCTATATTTTATAGAAATACAAACATACTATATGTTTATAGTAAAAATCTTTTTTTAAAAAAATAAAATTTGTCTGAAGAACCCAACCCTTGCTTTTAGGGACAGACTTACCTTACTGGAAGGGATGGGAATTTCCCAAGAAGCTTGGGTTGTAGTGGTACCCGGGAGGCTTCAGATATGTTACTTCGCTTTGGGGACTTTCCTTATTTGCAAATGGAATGCTGACTTGCAATCTTGAACCCTACTGAATCATGAACACCTAAAAAAATGACAGATGAAGAATAGAGGCTGTCAAGCCAGGCTGGACTTCTCATGAGAAGTGTTTCTCCAGGTGTTTTTGTTTCTTGTTGATGTTTTGTTTCACTATTTTTTGTCTCTTTATGCCTTTACCCATCATCCATATAGCACTGGATATTGTACAGCTAAAAATAAGTGCTTGTTAGTGTGAAACATCCTGGAAATCATTTCTGCATAAAAGTGATATCAGCGTATTAGATCTCAAAACTGTTAAATACTGGATGACTTACATACAAATGAGTACCAGATTTTTCCAATTTTACCAGTTGTTAAATATTATATAGAAATAAGGTCATTTCCAGGCATAGTGATACACACCTGCAATCCCAGCACTCAGGAGGCTGTGACAGGAGGATCACTGTGAGTTGAGGCCAGCCTGGGCTACATCCTGAGTTCAAGATCAGCCTGGGCTACATAGTGAGACCCTGTCTCAAAAAACAAATAAATAAATAAAAGAAGTTTTCAAATAAAATGATGGAAGTGTAGTTTCTATTGACATACAAGATTATATCTTTATCAGTTATTACTAACTCAGATGAGCAAATGTATACACAGACACAGCTGAATCATTCAGAACAGTATAATGCTAACAGGAAAACAGTTTATATCTGGCCAGCTTCTTATTTTCTGTTAATCTTCGTTATAAGCTGACAGAAGTATTTCAGACATTTTATTATGTGACCTTGAAGTATTTAAATTGTTTTCATCTCCTTTTGATCTTTTTTTGAACTCCTTCTCTTTTTTCTTCTTTTTCTCCTTCCTTTAAAATATTTAGACAGTATCATCAAAGAGGCCCTGAGGCTTTCCAGTGCCTCCCTGAACATCCGGACAGCTAAGGAGGATTTCACTTTGCACCTTGAGGATGGTTCTTACAATATCCGCAAAGATGACATCATAGCTCTTTATCCACAGTTAATGCATTTAGATCCAGAAATCTACCCAGATCCTCTGGTAAGTGACTTCAGATCAAAAAGTGTAGTATCCAGGTGATATCAACTCAGGTCTGAATAAGAAGGGAATTTACAGTTGTAGAATTGATTTGACCATTGGGGCCACAGAAGTTTTCCCGTTAATTATGTCAAATATTCAAATGACTAGGAAAATTTGGATAGTGATACAAATTTTTAATTTTTAGTTCTAATATTTGTCATCCCATTGTTTCCACTATATTATATTTGCAGTCATCAAATAAACTTGCATTCTTTACTTTTTGCTTAAAAAAGCACCTGCTATCAAATCCATGAAATTGGAGTTTTGTATACTGACTTTCAGTGAGTGGCACTGTTCTTGGTGGTTCTCTTGACGGAGGAACTCACTGTCAGGCAGAGACAAGGGCGTCTGAAACCTTTCTGGGTCCACTAGTTCTCCTTAAGCTCCTGTCTGTTGTTATTCTCACTTTCAGTGTAGGGTCTTAGCTTTATTGCTAATGGAGAGCATTAAAACAGAAAATTACTCTTGTGGCTCCCAGGTCAAGCAAGATAAATTCCTTGCAATGTAGCTCATAGCTTTGTTTCCTGTGTATTTTTACTGCAGACTTTTAAATATGATCGGTATCTAGATGAAAACAGGAAGACAAAGACCACCTTCTACAGTAATGGAATCAAGTTAAAGTACTACTACATGCCTTTCGGGTCAGGAGCTACCATATGTCCTGGAAGGTTATTTGCTGTCCAAGAAATCAAGCAATTTTTGATCCTGATGCTTTTGTATTTTGAACTGGAGCTTGTGGAAAGCCACGTTAAGTGTCCCCCTTTGGACCAGTCTCGGGCAGGCTTGGGCATTTTGCCACCGTTACATGACATTGAGTTTAAATATAAATTCAAATATGTTTCAACGTGTGGTTAGAAAGGGGCCGTAGGTGAAGTTACGTGACTGCAGGCACCGCGGCATGCAGAGCCTCTGAGCAAGCGTGTTAAGGGGTGAGGAAGGAGTCGAGCGTGTTCAGTTCTGTTCCCTGATATTTGCTTGTGCATCTAACATTTTATTAAAGCTTCCAGATGCTGTCTGAGGCTGTGCTAGTGAAAACACTCATTCCTAGGAGTGTAATACTTTGTTCTTACTTGCATGGGTTCTTATACCCATGGATTGAAATTCATTATTTTGGGAGAAAAAAAATTTAATCAAAATGAAGATACTCCAATTGGCAGATTTTTCCTGAGAAAATTTATTTTTTATCAAAATCACTCAATAGTTACGGAAAGTACAAATTCACGTTTTAGTGAAAAAAACATTATTTTTCACTAAATGAGTTTCTTCAGGTGTCAGTATAGATTACCAAAGGTATTTTGAAGAATGATACTATGCATTTTATTAGAAAAAAATTTTTTAAATTTCCCAATATGTGGCAGTCATGGCCTTTAAAATGATGCTCTTTGTGTACAGGAAATACTAAAGGTAGTCTTGATATGTTTTCCCTTTATTTTTAAATTTATTTTGGCTGGAAATTGTTACATTAGGCTTCAGCTGTTTTATTTGTTCCTGAGTCCATAATAATAGAAGTTTTTTCAGAGACTAAAAATACACTTTTTCTGTCAATGGCAAATATTCATCTGGAAAAAGAATGTAGCTCCTCTATGATAAATTTTAAAATTAAAACCAGGTAAAAACAACCATTTAAAAACTTTGGTTATGGAACTGGGCATATAGCTCAGTGACACAGTGCCTGCCTGGCAAGCTTAAGGTCCTGAGTTTGACTCCTGATACAAAAAATCAAAAACAAACAAATACAAAAACAAGAAGCTTTGGTTTATGAAAGACACAGAATTTATTAACTTGATATTGTACTTTATTTAAATATCCATTATTTCCAAATAATTGGCATTTAAGGAAAAATAATTAAGATTATATGATAGTGTTTAAATGCTGTATATAATAATGCTTTGATAAAGTATGCTTATCAGCTTTGCTATTTTTATTATTTCCATGTGTATTTATATGTAAATTATATTTAACCTTTTTTCTTGTACTATGTATATGAAGAAAATATTGTAACTTTTGGTAATCTTAAAATTGGTCCTTTTAGAAACAGAAGTATTGTATGTATGTGTTTTAAATTTTGAAATATTCAGAATACTTACAACACTCATATTGACAAAATTCACAAATTTTATTCAGGATTCATTGAAACTATTTACATTTCCAACTGTTTAAAAAGTATTCAGCTCAGGCATGATGCACACACCTGTAATGCCAGCACTTGGGAGACTGAGGCAGAAGGATGGCTGTAAGCTCAAGGTCAGACTGAACTGCACAGCAAGACCCTGGCACTATTCAAAGTATTAATTCGCTCAGAAATCTCTCGTATGTTACATAAAATTCACTCAACATTTTTTCGCAGTGCTGGGAATTGAGCCCAGAGCTTTGTATATGTATAGGCAAGTGTTCTACCATTGAGTTCCTCAACTGTCATTAAAATTTTTTTAACATTGCTATTTAGTACTATCATGAAATTATCTCATGTAGGTTATTTTTCATATCAAGGAAATCGAGTTCACTAACATAAGGATCAAGCCCGACAAAATTCTGTTTTATAACAACCTGTTAAGAGCTGAATTTGTAATGCAGTTTTCTAATAAACTTTGTCTGAATGCATTCGTATCTTTCTGTATGTATTCTTGTCTAAGAGGTTTGCAGTTCACACCCTGTTGAACAAAAAATGACCCTTTCCATGTTTTTATACAGCCTGAAGGCTAAGAATGGATTTTGCTTTACTAAATAGTTAAAAGGAAAAAAAAAAAAAAACCCTCAAAAGTATAATAAATTCTATGGCATGGGAAAAGTACATGATGTACATAATTAAAGTTTTCTTGGAATACACTTGCCTAGCAGTCTGCACCATTATCTCTGTGTGATCTTGGTACCTCATTTTGCAAAGCTTAGCTGCAAAGAGACTGCATAGATTCAGAGCCCAGGATATTTAAAAGCTGGTCCTTCCCACAAAACATTTGCCAACTCCTATTGTAGAGCAATCTCCAAATCTATTTTTATTTTAATTTTTTTAACTTTTGAAAGTGCAGTAGGATATGAATCTTTGAAAAGCATGTGTAGGGAACATATCTAAAAAGCCATGGTATGGTTTTATTTTAATTGTAGAGAAGACTAAATCATTCTAATTAGGAAAGTTATCTTTATCTGGAATTGACTCCTATATTGAAAACAAAATTGTAGGAATGTGTTGTAAAATCAAGTAGGCTTAGCGGAGTCTAATGATAACTTTATTCAGTGTTCTAGTGGCCTAGCTGTGTCCCGCACATCGCATTTCTTCCCTTTGAGACTTAAGCTACTGTTACCTTCATATTACAGAGGAAGAAAATGGAACTACAGAAAAGTGGTCACTGGACCTAAGTCCCAATGCTGTAACTAGTGGACAAACATTAGAATCTAAGTATTGTTCTTCTCAGGGTCAAGGTCAGAGATGGTAGAGGCAATGGGATTATGGTTGCAACTTTGGCCTCATTAATAGATATGGACACCGCTTCGCCCGCGCGCCTTCTTCATAGTGTGTTGGGTGACATTAACTCAGAGGATCAGACCTACAGTGTGAAAGGATTTTGGCCCAGACAGGACACTGTAGCCAGTAAAGCCTTAGAGGCGAAACCAAGGAGCTCTATCTTCCCCACCCCTAGGAATTTGCCTCTGACCTGAAATGAATACCAATGAGAGACCTGCGAATCCTTAATGCCCCTCAGGCACCACCCCCAACCTAAGCTACATGTATGTCCCCACTCCACGTGTCCCACGGAGAGATCCCCAGACCCCAAGGGAGATGCCAGACCCCAGAGGGTCGGAGGTCTCTCCCTACATTCTTAAAATAAAGGTCATTTATATTTCATACTTCTTATCTTTTCAGCTGCGCCACAATTCTATCACAATGTAAGGCCAACACAGCAGCATGTGTGCTGCGTGAACCCCCAGACTATTGAAATTCATCTAGTCTAAGTTCTTATTTTAGTTAGAAACTGATATTTTGTGTGTAGGGGGGAGAAAGTGCCCTGTAATTTTCTTTAAACAAAAATCACTTGCTTTTCACCAAATGTTTAGGAATAACCCCTTCTCCAACACTCTGCACCCCACTACTTTGCAAGATTACTGCCGAGAAAAGATTAAAGAACACCCTGGACAAGCCGCTCTCACCTGGAATCATCAATTATTCCTTTTTGTGGCCACATTTGGTTTCACCTAGCAAGGTGGTTTGACAGGTGATTCTAGGTAGCATTTTCAATTACAATTTATTTTTCTTTCTAGTTGCTAATGCAAAGGTTTTAATCCCTGGCTCCTCTGACCCTTTGGAGAAGAGGGAAGGGAAAAGGGTCTAAAGAGGAAGGTGATGGAGCTTTCATTATCTTTTTTCACCATCTTCAATTAGCTATCTACATATAAACTTTCAAACTCCTCTGATTAACAAATGAAATTTGTTTAAACTTTGTTGGAAGAGGAATCTGTCTTTTTAAAACATGAAAATATAAACATGCAGGCAAATATACCCTGGAAGACACTTTTGTTTACTTTTTCTTTGAACATGGTAGTGAGGCATGGTCAGGAGTAAGGCCAGGGAGCTCAGTGATCATGGGCCCCAGGGCCCTTGGTGCTCCAGGTAATCTGTGTGTATGAGAAGGGTCATCTGGGTGTCCCCGAGGAGGGGGCCCAGTGGTTCCAGAGCTTCAGCCACTAAAACATGACCGTAAGGCAGAGTCAGGAGAAACCCGGCTTTTCAGAAACCCGGCTCTGTTTTCAATTCACTGTTTTAAAAAAAATTTCCAAAGGATGCCTGTTCTCCCAGGAGAGTAATTTTATTTCACTCAACGCTACAGCCCACTATATCTCCTAGCTGGTATCTGGCCCATATTAGGTTAGACACCAGCTGAAGCAATGGCAGGACAACTCATCTACCTGGAGGCGTTCTGTGCTCTTGTTTTTCTTCTCAGCCCAGCCTCCATCAAGCAGCTCAGGATTTGCTTGGTTGCTTTCCTAGTAGAAGTTTCTTTTTGCTTCTCTCTATTGATTAAAACATTGGGAAAGAGTTAAACACACAGAACCAAGAACACAGCTGGCCTATGCTCACGCCTACGCTGCGTGATAAGGCAGTTTTATAATTTGTTGGAACAGAATAGAGGTGGCAAGTGCCTCTGCACTGCGGGGAGCTGGTTGAGTAGCTTGCAAACAGATCTCAGCAGCAGAGAGACGTAGGTCAGGATGGTGCATTCACAAGACGGGGAGTAGAGCGTATGCTGGCGGGGATAGGGCAGAAACTTCTGTGTCATTAATTTCCCAACAGCCTGCTTATTCTCTAGTTGGTTATTAGGTGAGGTTTCAGTGTTTAGCCTGTTAGAGTCTGCACCTATTTTTCTATTTATAACTAGGCCTTTTCTTGCTGACACGATAAAGGAACCCACTCACTATATGGTTTTCTAGGACCAGAGAATGTAGCCATGAGGTCATCCACCTTTTAGATTTGTCTTTTGCATATAAGTAGGTCAAGCTTATTCCCAAAGAGATAAAATCAAGATTTAGAATTCCTTCAATCCAAGTATGTTTAGACAGTACCCAGTTTGTAAGCAGTGTGTTCTAAAGGTTCAGTTGTGAGTTCAATATTCAGAGCATATTCTGCAGAAAGGAGTGTGCTATAGATAGGAGTCACCTTCGTGGAGCAACAAACCACAGGCCAGTTTACTTCAGTGTTGCATGGGTCCTAGTGTCTGCAATAATTTTGCCAGGCAAGGAAATGAAATTATTGTTGAAATACTTATATTTAAATTGAGATATAGTTTCAATTTACTCTAGTAAGTGTCTTGAAAAGAGAGTGGGAGGTAGACTATAAAGAGTTTGGAGGTGCAGTCCAGCATTTTCAAAGTAGGTGCTTTTACAGGAGATGACTTTAATCAGAGTTTCTAGGTCACAGGTGGAACCAGCTCATTTAATTTGTAGCTGACAAGAAGGAGCAGAAGAACATGATTTCTATTGTATCCTCTCCTTGTACCTCACTTCCAACCAGGCCTTCAGAATGGAGTAAAATTCTCTCTGCGGATCCTTTGTGCAATGACTTTGGTATAGAGAACCCTGAAGACAAAGTGAAGTTCATGAAGATGAGAACCGAGGCTTTTAGGTATTATCCCAACTCCTCCCTGTCAAACACACACGGGCACCAGATCAGAGTGACGCAGGGTCCTCTCTCTCCCTTCCCCCTGCATGCAGAAGCGGCCCCCTCTTCTCCCCAGTCGTCGCTTGGTTCCCCTGCTCTGGCACTCTGGTTCTTTAACTTTCTTCTTCCTTTTTCTTGCTTCCTGTGCTGTGCTCTCCTCAAATCCATATTTTGAAGGCCTCACCCCTCGTACCTCAGAATGTGACCATATTTAGAAAGAGGGCTTATGAATAAGTACATTTCTATTATTATAAAGACTAACAGTAAAGAAAAGACTTACATTTTTTGGCTCATAGTTTTTGAGACTCAAAGCCCGAGATCCAGCAACCACACTTGTTTAGCCTTTGGCAAGGGCCTCATGGCAGACACAGTGTGCCAGGGGCACATGCGAGGAGGAGAAACCAGGACGATGCCACTTGTTCCATAAATAACCCCTGGACAGGCCTTCTCCAGGTCTGCTGGGTCTCTTTTCTCTTGCCTTGGGGACCTTCGGTCTTATGTTGGAAACATCAAAGCTCCTCCCTTGCAGGTGGGAAAGAGCCTGAGTGTGAGAAACCCAGAAGTGATTTTCTAGATTCTACTGGAACTGGGCACCTGCATTTTCTCTAATAGTAAAATTGTCTTATTGTGGTTTTCTTTCGTCTCTCTTGTAGTCTTCCTGGATGTTTACTTTTATAATGATTAAAACACAGTTCTACCCAGTTCCCTGTGCTCTTTCATTCCCAATAGCTCATTACATACAGCACTCTGGAACTTTGGAACAGCTTGCCAAGTGGCTGATGTGACTGTTCTGGTTGCCAGATCTCAGCTGGCCTCTGCTCACTGCCTTCAGCAGTTCATGAATCCAAGTCAAACGAAGAGGTGGATCAGCTGGAAGCTTCCCTGGTAGCCAACTGGGGAGGGGTTAGAAAAAACACTGAAGTGAAAAAAAAGTGGAGAAAATCACATTTATGGAAATTTCTTTAGGGAAAATTGTGAGCCATTCTTTGGTATAGGGGTAGGATGAGACCATTAAGAGGTGCCTTGCAGAGTTACCCGAGGCTTGCTTATTGCTCTCTAGGGGAAGAAGTGAGCCACCATGCTACCTGGGCCAGCGTCCCCTGAGGTGCTCAGACTCCTGGAAACAGGCCTTCCCGCCTCCAGCACTCGGTGCTTTGCCCTCCTCCCATTACCCCCATGTGATGACTTAGCCTCGTTCAACCCTGATTCTTCTCGTGGTGTGGGACCTTACCCATTCTTTGCAGCAATCCCATGATAAGAAAGATGCAGCACAAATTCTTAATCAATTAAGCATGGAGGAAATAACAAACGCCGTATGTGTCAAGTGCACAGCTAGCATATCTAACGTCATGAAATGTGGGAAGTTTTTCCTCTCAAATGAGCAACAAAACAAGATGTAACTCTTTCTACTTCTCTTCAGCATAGTACTGGAAAGCCTGCCTGGAACAAATAGGCTAGG